GGTCAGAGGCCCCTTAGATCTTATAAGAGAGCATTGGGAGGGAGACCGGAGCGCAGATGGCACCCCCATCATACCATATGTGTTGGCTCTCCGAGACCGCCTGGAAGCCTTAACCAGGACGGTAAGGGAAAACCTTCAGGCGGCACAGACCCGCCAGCGCACATGGTATGACCGGGGAGCCAGGGACCGTAGCTTTCAGGTCGGGCAGAAAGTGCTAATTTTAAAGCCTGTCCGACATGACAAGCTACAGGCCGCCTGGCAGGGACCTTATAGGGTGGTGGAACAGAGATGTGACACCACCTATATAATTGGCCCCTGTACAGGGACGGGAGGGCGACGCATGCTCCATGTGAACATGATGAAGCCCTACCAAGCGCGCTCCGAGGAGGTAACCGCCATATGTGCACCCAATTCGGATGAGTTTGACAGCTTACCACTCCCAGACCTGCTGGAAGATGGGCAGTTGTCTGGGGATTTAGGGGAAGTCACACTGGGAGACCGGCTGAGCCCACAGGAGCGCATCGAGGTACAGCAGCTGTTGGAGGAGAAACGAGACACGTTCTCTAATGTACCTGGGTACACCCCTCTGGCCACTCACCGGGTAGAGACCCCAGGGCAACTACCGATGCGCCAGACCCCCTACCGCATCCCCGAAGCGGTAAGGGAAAACATGCGCAAGGAGATCGATGAGATGCTCCAACTGGGGGTGATTGAGCCCTCAGATAGCCCCTGGGCTTCTCCGGTAGTACTCGTACCGAAGCGGGACGGTACGACCCGCTTCTGCGTAGACTACCGGAGATTAAACGAGAAAACGGTGTCCGATGCATACCCTATGCCACGGATAGATGAGCTACTGGACAGAATGGCCAGGGGTCAATACCTCACTACCATTGACTTATGTAAGGGGTATTGGCAAATCCCCCTGGCCCCAGAGGCCATCCCGAAGTCGGCCTTTGTCACCCCATTTGGCTTGTACAAGTTTAAGGTCATGCCATTTGGGATGAAAAACGCCCCAGCTACTTTTCAGCGGATGGTAGACCGACTCCTGGATGGGTTCCAAGACTACACCTGTGCCTACCTGGACGATATTGCCATTTTTAGCAATACGTGGCAGGAGCACTTGGCCCATATAGGAGCGGTTCTAGACAGGATTAAGGAAGCTGGTTTGACATTGAAACCGGCCAAGTGCAGCATAGGGATGGCCGAGGTGCAGTACCTCGGACATAGAGTGGGTTGCGGCAAACAGAAGCCCGAACCAGCCAAGGTAGAAGCCGTGGCCCAGTGGCCCACTCCTAGGACTAAAACCCAGGTGTTAGCCTTTCTAGGGACCGCTGGGTATTACAGAAAGTTTGTCCCTAACTATAGCGCCCTCGCCAAACCTCTCACTGACCTTACTCGGAAGAATTTGCCCCGCCAGGTGACCTGGACCCCGGAGTGTGAGCAGGCATTCCAACATCTGAAAAATGCACTGATAAATGCTCCTGTCTTGGCAGCTCCCAATCCAACTAAACGTTTTCTTGTTCACACAGACGCTTCTATGTTTGGATTGGGAGCAGTACTGAGCCAAGTCGGAGCCGATGGCGGAGAACACCCCGTGGCTTACATCAGTCGCAAGCTGTTACCCAGAGAAGTAAGCTACGCCGCCATCGAGAAGGAATGCCTGGCTGTGGTGTGGGCCTTAAAGAAACTACAGCCGTATCTATATGGACAGCCTTTTTCGTTACTCACGGATCACAACCCGTTGGTATGGCTAAACCGGGTGGCTGGGGACAATGCCAGGCTGCTGCGCTGGAGTTTGGCGCTGCAGCCTTTTGACTTTAATATTCAGTACCGCCCGGGTAAACAGAATGGGAATGCCGACGGGTTGTCAAGACAAACTGACCTGGAAAAATGATCCGTGAGTCCCCGGACATCCCCAAGCCGATCCGTGTTGGATCAGACTGTGTATGCCGGCTTGTGGGCAAGGGGGAGCAGTGTAGCGGATGGCACTGGGCTGTCCTGCAAATGTCTTTGAAATAATTGCATTCGTGTGATCTGCTAGTTTTCTATGTGTTTTAAAGCCTTGTATTCTTGTGATTGTTCGGTAGTTTCATTCCCTTAGTTTATTCGAATGGAACTACTGAACAACCAGACCTCCCCTGGGTAAAGTGTGTCCTCAATTACCCGTTGCAACATTGTTGCGAACGGGTAATTGACTAGGAAGTAGCCGTCCTTTGTTCTCGGGGGTGGCCGCCATTTTAAAACTCCCGAACAGCGGTGTTTTGCCGTCGAGTGTCTGGAACTAAAATCGGACACTCGAGCAGGCGAACACCGCTGAGACCTCCACAGCCCTGGTCCGTTCGGTTCCAAACTACTGAACGGCCCCTCGTTCGGTAGATATAAAATACCGAACGAGGGGAATCAGGCGAACCCTCCCTAGCCTCTATAGCTAGAGGTTTTCATGTATTTTATTCCCTTATACCAGGACCGACCGCAGGGCCCATTCACATGGAACCGGATTCGGCTATCTCTGTTCGTGCGGTCGGTCATTCTATTCCCTCCATACTTTTCCCGAACCCCTGGTATGATCTGGGTGATTTTTGGATATGTTGGTCACCCAGATCAGGGCTATCAGGGGATGTTGATTTAAAGAGGTACCCCTACGTTTAGGGGTACATCCAGAAACGGGGGGAATTGGTGTGCTGGATAAGGGGATTATGATGCTGGCTGAGGGGAGGAGATGTGTGGGAGGTTACCAGGACAGGATTGGCTACTGTAATAATTACTGTAAATCCCTCCCTTGCATGGGAGCATGCTTTATAAGGAGACTGTGATTAAAGGCTTGTCAGTTCTGCTCCTGAAACTGTGTGTCGTCCAGTTATTGGGATTGCTGTTGGGATATTGCTGTATTTTACCTGCTGGAAACCTTGCCTTTGGATTTATTATTTACTTGTTCCTGAGCCTCACTTGGATTATAAGCGGAGATAACCTGGGGAGTATTGCATCTCCGCTACAGGCGGTAGGAAGAAAAAGGTTGGCTACCACTGATCTACACACTGCTGATGGGTCTGTCAAACATAGTTGCAAAAGTCTTTGCAGTATCAAATATAATGATAGTGAACTAGCCTTATAAAAAAGAGCTATGATCCAGCCAGTGTAAAGGTATGGTCTTTGATCGTCAACTTGTCTATGATACTTAAATCTAAACTAGTCCAGATATCCACATCTAAGCAAACAGACTCACAACACTGTGAGGACTCTACTATATAAATAATAGTCTAGACTGCAAGGAGGAAGGAGAAAGAATAAGTAAATAAAATTAGGTGCTAAAGTGCAGAACCATGCTTAGGATGCTGGTTGCCTGCACTTATGTGATAGAGTGCCCTGTGAGAAATAGAAAAGCCCAACGTGCATTTTGATGCCATGGATGTGCAACTTCGTCAGGGTTAGAAACAACAATGACCTGAAAGTCTCTTAAATAAGTAAATGTCTTGCTGAAATTATGTGTTGGACCAATCACTGATTGACACGTGTCTAACGTTTGGCGCCAGAATGGTGACATCACGATTATGTAAATTAATGTTTCAAATTGGTCCAATCAGAAGGTAAGACATCATCAATTGTTAGCTGCTGAAAAAAACGGCAGTTAACTCTATCATCACTGGAATGATTGTGAAATAGTGGAAGCATTACGCTCCTATTGTGTAAATTCGTAGTGCCTCAGATATGTAATACGTGGCTAGTGTAGACTGCATGTGTAATGTTAGAAAAGTATCTAACCTACAAGCATATTCTGCCTTGGATCATGCGAGGATGGGAATTTAACCCTTCGAGTGCTGTACTTCATAGTGAGGCTACAGAGATACTGTTAATGAATTATGTCGCTTGCAGTAGAGATAAGAGTATAGAATTGGAGATCAACCATGCCTGTAGTTCCCATCGATATGGAGATAACTGCAGAAAGCTGTGGCAAGTTATTTATTTATTTTTTAATTGATGTAATTAATTAATTCCTTTTTTTTTTGTATGGCATACTTGTTCAGGAGATAAGACATAGATGTATATCTTAATAACTTTACATAATGAAATGGTCTTCCATCTCCAACCATTTATAGATAGGAATGTGAGGAAGTGCCCTTCGCCACTTGGTCCTGGAGAGGCTTGCTTGCCAGCCTCCTGCCCTGCGACTATGGCCCGGGGGTGTGTGGCCCTTTAAGAACATTATTGGGGCTTATGGACTTTCATTGGACTGTTGCTGGCCCTTTAAGCACATTTTTGGGATTGCTATGCTCTGCATACTTCCCTGAGCTTTAATCACTTAGCTCTTTTAAGAGCTTGTTCCTGATATGCTCTCCTGGAGGAGAGGTCTTCCCTGCATGGTCCTGGAGGACAGAAGCTGATCCAGGGTGGACAGAAGACAACGAGACTCCAGTTAAGCTACGGTGGTTGTGGAGTCTGCGGTGGTTGTGGTGTCCGATGCGGTGCTTGTGGTCTTCGGCGCAGGCTAGGAAGCATCCATCAACTGAAGGTACTCACTCGGAGTACGGGCAATTCTGTAACAAGGTACAAGACTTTTAGAGGGAGCATTTAGTTGGTGGTGTAGCAAAGCAGATAGTCTGAGAGGAACAAAATGAAAGGAAGGATCTGTTTGAACTAGGCTGGCTTGTTCTGGCTGCCACAGAGAAGGAAATAATCTGCATAAGGAACTTGAGCAGAGAGAGTAAAGCAAGTTGAACTGTGTATGAAGATAATGGACCCAAGTTTTGTGTGAAATTAAACATTTTTCTTATTCTTTACATAGCTGGAAAAGTACATTCAAAATGCCAAAGCTGGGGGGTGTGTCATGGCCACCATTTTGAATTGCCCCATCTAGAGGTGCTCCTGGAACATTGGGACAATATTGTTCCAAAAGTGATATACCCAACTTTAAACACACTGAACTTGGTAATTACTGCACCTTTAATTACATTTAAGCAACATGCAGAAGCAAAAAACAACAATCGGAAAAGTCTGCTCCTACTATGCAGAAAATCGAAGTGACGGCTGCAGGGGTGAGTAGGGGCCTTTTAGCTTAATCTCCTTCCTCACTGCCAAGATTGTGGTTTATTTCACAGCAAAAATCATCATTGGCGTCAGTTGGTAAGCCTCTCCCTTCCATCAGACCTCACATGCTTGCACATATGCTGGTGCAGTCGCCTTCCGTTCGCGGCTTCACACAAGCAGCAGGATCGCAGCCGCATCAGCCACAAGCCCAGATGGTGGCTCCACATGTTCCGAGTGGCTCTTGCGCTTGAAGTGACAAGAAGAGACCCACAAGCGGCGTGAACTGTCATCTGCAAGCGGCGGTGCGTGCAGGAAACACCGCGAGCGGCTTAATGTGAAAGCAGCCCGGTTGCTAGTTTATAAAGCTGGCAGGTGGGAGGCATGAGGTCCCTGTCCCCATCAGGGCCCTCGGCCTTACGGCCATCAGGGGGGCCTCTGCTTCTGCTAACAACCTTGAAGAGCTTAATATTGAAATGATGGATGATATTCCCAATATAATCTTATATTCACCATTGCCACAAAGAGTTAGGCATGATTCCACCTCCAAGATTGCTGTTATTGCAACATGTTTTGAAGACCATGCCAGATCCAAGATGGCTGCTTCAGCTCAACCGGCAATTTCCACCACCAAGATGGCCGCTGCCACCTCTAATATGGCTACCACTCTTAAAGTTGCAGCATATTATCAGACTATGCCAGTTGAACTGGCTACAGGTTTGCCTGCATCAGTTGACATGCTGATAAATCTTATTCAAAATCTTAGAGTGGAATTTAGGAACGATTTTAAAAAGGAGTTTGACACAATATATAGTTTTATGACAGACATAAATTTACGCACGAAAGATGTGGAAATCCGAATGACCTCCCAAGAACAATCTCATCTGGAATTATTAGAGAAGGTAAATGATCTTCAAAAACAGGTGAACCAGCAAGCAGAAAAATCAGCTGGTGCGGAAGATAGGAGCAGAAGAAACAACCTGCGGATCAGGGGGATCCCTGATAACATCGACATGGCGGAATTACCTAATTATTTTCAGAACATGGTAAGGGCAGTTAAGCCATCTGTTACCAATTCGGACTTGATTTTGGACTGCATTCACATGTTGCCTAAAAATAACAGCGCACCTCTAGCTGCACCTAAAGATGTAATAGTATGTATTCATTACAATCATATAAAGGAGGAATTACTGGGTGCAGTTTGCACATCTGAATTATTTGGTGACTACAAAAATATGAAGATCTTTCTGGACTCTTCTGCACACACCATGAGACGACGCAGGGAATTTCAACCTTTCACGTCAGAATTGTGTCGCAGAGGAATCAGATACAGATGGGGATTCCCTGTAAAGGTTCTCTTTTACATGGATGGTCAGAAATGTGTTGTCTTATCACCAGACGAGGGGATCAAAGTTCTTAACTCCATGAGCAGACGACAGGTGCTCTCAGCTCACACACTTTCACCTTCAACTCCAGAGCAGCCCAATTGGAGAAGTAAGCTTGATTCTCCGCATTGATCTACATAGCCTTTGAGATTCTGGTTTGATGTTTTCAGGCGTTGGCGTTTTGTTCTTTGATGTACCTGTTCCTGAGCTGCTTGAGGGATTACCTCAATTATATTTACTCTACTTTTCTTAAAATTTTTAGATCGACTCCAGGGTCCAGATTACTGTGGTTACTTGATGTGAGATGTAACTTCTTAAATCAAGACTCACCCTGGTTGTCCAAGACATTTTTCTACTCATACTTAATTAATATATCTTGTACCGAAGTTTAATTTTTAATTTTGCTTACCATGGTTCCCTTTGTCCCCAGTAAGCTTCTCTCCCCCCCAACCTGGACCTGATACCCTGAGATGGAGAATTTTATTTTTTTAGGAACAATATGTACTCTGACCAGTGTTGGAGGGACTGTGGAGCTATGGGAAATATGGCTCATATTTGGTGGTATTGTCCCAAAATTGCTAGAGATTGGAAAATAATTCATGACCTAATTGTTAAAGTGGATCAGTCTATTCACATTCTAACATCAGAACTCGCATTATTCAAAAAAATTCCCAGAGTCAGTCAATAGAACAGATAAAATAATGATAGGCCACACCCTGATTGAAGCCACTTTGTGTTTACAATGATATTGGAAATTTAAAAATGTACTCAAATGTATTCCAGAAGTTTTTAATTTAATCATGGATAATAAAGTACATAACCTGTCCTATAGGAAAAATATGCATTAATTTGTAAAACTTTAATGTGATTGGAATGAATGGGAAGAAGAAATTAAAAAAGTGTACTGTTTATAGAAGTTCTTTGGAATTTTCCCACGCTGTGTAAAATGACACAGAGCACTCTGATTGGCTGGATTTCAAGTTATCCAATCAGAGTATAAGTGGTGGGCAGAATACACTGACCCTGAGGAGTGGAAAAAATGGATAGAGAAGGGATAGAAACAGACAGGTAGGAAATCTATACTAGTTAAGAAAAGCCCCCATAAAAGCTAAGAGAAATATATGAATGATAGTAGGTGGAAAAATCTACACGTACTAGGAGTTCTCTTACCAGATGCTACAAACTGTTGATAATAATCATATAGTAAAATAATCTAAGCAGAACGTGAGAACTCTAAAATTATGCAATAAGAACCACTTGTACACACATAAAGTGAGAGAGTGATAAAATACAAAAATAGTGGAATAGAAAAAATCAGTAATTGCAATATATATAGATATCCACTAGGTGACAGCCTTGTATCAGAAAAACCTTGGTATAGAGGGAATCTTCCACTAAACAACGAATAGTCTTAATATATTTGAGAAAAAACCTTAGGATTTGGATGTATTAACACAGTGACTGCTAATGTAAAAGTAGATAGTCCAGACAACTTGATAGTCCAATAAATTCCAAAAGGATGGAAAGATAAAATATTGTCCAATAAAGTATGTGACAGACAAAGTTCTTATAGTGCAAAGGTACCAATATCACATTCCACAGAGTGTGCTGCTGCTCAGTAGAAATAACAGCAGCAATAAAGTGTCAAGTTGTGGATATAATGTAACCAGTATTGGTATATATCAGTAAAATATCGGATGGCAGCAGAAAGTAACAGTTACTCATATACCACCATTACAGGTATATAGTAATATGATCTCTAAATGATCGGCAAATAATAGCAAAAAGCTAGTGATGCTTTTTAATAAAAACTTCACATTTATTGAGAATAAAATTAAAATTAGAACACACTCACAAAAATGAAGTGTAGTATGCCAGCAAATGAGTCTTATCGGGTAAGCAAAAACGGGTGATGATCAGCAAACTGTGGAAGATCTTTCTCCGGCCGGTAAGATGATCTTGCTGTGCTGGGAGAGGTGAGACACCTCTTGCGTGCGTTCCACTTAGTGCGCCAGATCTGCATTCCACGGTTGCTCGGTAGCTGGATCAATGTACGACAATTGCCGAAATGCCTTACGCGTTTTGTGACAGTTCACAGTCACTTCTTCAGAGGCGGATGAACTTCTATGACTGCTGCTCCGTTAATATAGTGATCACTGGCAGCTATGTTAATTAACAGCTGCTCATACATTGCAATATAAAGTCAGTTTAAAAATAAATGATAAATAAATAATGAATACTAAATAATAAATACACACATTAAACATTGTATACAGACATCAATTTAAAATATACCATATTTGGCTGATTAAAATTCATTGTATAGTTCCATATTTAAAATGATCCCTAAAATTAAGTTTACATGTTGAAGTAAATGGAAAAACGAATTTAATCAAAGAGTTAGAATCCTCTCATCCTAACCAGGATGATTTGATCATAGATGGATATAAGTAGAATGGCTAGAAAAATACGCATAAATGCTAGAACCTAGAATTAAAATATATATAATCATATCAGACCTTACAAGGATACTAACTCTAGCTGGAAGTGGAATAGTTAAATCGTGAGTCACGCTGATGTATCTATTTTCTATTTGGTACTCCATATATCAACCTTTATTCAGTAGTTAGAAAGAGATGGAGATCGTATTGATCAATAATTAGAAAAAGATGGAAACAATATAAACCAGTATGCGGTGCAAAAATACATTATATAAAAACTGCCATATAATCATCAGAAAGTTAATTTGGGAACTCTTGTTAGAGTCTAATAGTAAGTGTATTGTGAATCTACACGGTTTGTTGGAAAAGGGAAATGTGAAATAATAATAAATAATAAATGGTGGAAAATAGAGAATACAAAAAATAATGGAGAAAGATGAAATTGAAAGGTCAGTCGCAACAGGTCTATTTGTGCAGACTTAAATGTAACATATTAGGACATGGTATGATCAGTGGAAATGCAATGTTTTTATAAAACATAAATAGATACGTGAATACTTTCAGTAGGGGACCATCACCTTGCCATTAGAAACAGAGTTGAAAAGTGCTCACAAGCAGAATAATCGTATTGAAAGGAGTAGGTTGACATTGAACAAGGACCAAAACAACATCTAAAAAGAGAGGAGCAAGAGGCATATAAATAGCACCCCTAGTGGCAAGGGTAGCAAAAAGTGGCCGATCTCGATATAAAGAGCAAAAGAACATACACAGTGTGGCTAAAAACATAAAACATATAAATTAGAGAACATAAATGTGGTGGAACCAAAATAGCATATGAATCATATATGGAAATTACATGGCTTAAATAAGCCATGCCACAGTAAGCTTCAAAGATGCTTCTATATAAAAAAAAATATAAAATACCTTATAAAATTTGCCGTGTTGAGAATTTGGCATTGAATAGGTATTTAGATTTTATCAGATCTAATAAAAGGACATTTTTCGACCAAATTTTAACTGAGGGTCCATCAGAGAAACCCCAATTTACCACTACTACAGAGATACCCACAGTTCTGGATACCAGATCACTTATCTATAAATTAGGTAAACTAATGGAAAGAGAGGTTCATATTTGGTGGGACATAGCAAGCTTTAAATTCTATGTATCCAACAACCTAGTTCCAAGAGGTTTAAGACTACATAAGCCACTCACCTACAAAAAAGGTGATCACAATATTCATACTAGGTGGGATCAACTTTTAGATAAAGGCTCCCTCTTACTAATGATATTCCTTATCAATGAGAAAAAGAAATATTTAGAACAGCTAGAAAAGGAAATCAAAGAAATAAGAGACACTCTGCTCCCCTTGGTTGAAGAAGGCTCCTTCTCCAAACTGTTAGACTCAGTAGAGAGAAGGGTTAAAGATCTTGAAATTAGAATTAGGGAAATCAAGAAAAATGAATTACTACGAGACAAAGAAGATTATAAGAAAGGAAGACAAAGGAATTGGAACCAATCTGGCGAGCATCATCACAGACTGCAGAAGAAGGAGCACCACTAATAGAGAGGGCTATTTATCTAGACCCCAAAGATTCCCATCTCAGTCTCAATACCGGACATATAGAACATGCTATGAACACCCTCCAAGAAGAAACTATGAAGACTCCAGATCCTATATTAGGAGAGACAACACAGGACCAAGTGATTTACCTACTAGAAGATATATATCTCCAAGAAGACTTAAAGACAGTCGAGATCCTCAGAAGAAAATTCCCACACCAAGAATTGATACGGCCCATCCCACCACACACACACTAATGTCTCACAACACCCTATTTTAACAGATTTTTTAGGACTACAAAGGGAGAGATTATTCTCCCCCAAACGGGCATGGCAGGAGAAGATACAGAAGCTATCCGAACCGATCCCCCATACAAAGGAAAAGGTTACAAAGAGAACAAGAAGACTTCTCTCTAGGGAAAATTGTAGGGACAGCGTCTTGTCTTACGGGTAAAAAGTCTGTTGCGGAGATGTAACCTGTTTGACAAGATGAGCAGCTGCCTATTAGGGATATTATTAGGTATAGTTAGTAGTCGTTTACATCGTAAATAGTAATTTTAAGGGGGGACTGTTGTGGACAGAATATTAACTCTATTAATTTTCGTAAAATGCCTATTTACTCTGCATAACTATAATCAGTATTATTCATAAGCTACTTAAAATGGCCGCTAGGGAGTTTCCCGGTCGTCAACTAACACCCTCAAATTAAAAAGATGGTGCTGGAATTCGGAGGAGAGCTCCATGATACCAATGACATCACACCCAGTAGGATGAGCAATTGATGAACCACTTAACACCTAACCAATTATTGATGTATTTTTCTCTGTTATCTATAATTATGCATATGATGTATTTCTGCTTTTTAAGGGGCATACCGGCCCCCCGGAATAACGTTTCCTCAAGTCTTTCATTAACCTGAAACTTGTGTCTGGTGTGAATTACTTTGGGAGCGTGCACGCAAATACTTATCAATTTGGACAGGGTAAGATATACAAAATTATCAAACACTTGATTTGATCCACGACACTTGGCATCACTAAAACGTCACGGTGCACTGAACAACGTTAGCTGTTTGTGACAAGACCAATCTCGCCACATTGCATTGGAGAAGCCTGGTTGCTCGCCTGTTG